GAGTTGCAACGAAAAAAATTGGAAATTTGTTAAAAACGGGTCTTAAAAGGGCCAAGGGGGGGTGGCTTATTTTTTTCCAAAAAAAACATTTCCAGATTAACCCCCCCAAAAGCCCCCCCCCCCCCCCCCCATGAAACTTGAGCACACGAAAATGCAAGAGAAACCACGAAACACGTGGTTCTGACGGTACTGTTTCAAAACCCTATATTATAAAGAGCTTTCTTGCACAATTAGCGGACGGAAGGGTTTTACAATTCAAAACCTCTCATATGAATTCTTAAACAGCTATTGCTGTATTGATAATTAGCTGGGAGGACCTTTGAATTGATTTTTGTTTGCTGGTTAATGATGACCTTCTTGTATTAAATGTCAATACTTGTCACAGACTTGTACGATCAATAATAAAGAGAATGAAATATACGGCTCTCCCTTTCTTCATTGGCTGTGCTGTCACCTCAGCCGCCATGTTAAGCGAAGTAGTCAATGAATCTTTTTTATCAGAAATATTACTTATATTAGAAAAAGAAAGCATCCGCCTACGTGAACATCAATTGACCTTCAGTCACGCAATTCGTCTTGGGCAATTGAAATTGTGACGTTTGCGTCACTATTTAATGAATGCGCGGCGAGACGCGCGACTAAACACGACGACCTCGGAAACTGGCAATACTGGAAACACAAAGTGACGTAGAGACTAGTGCGTGATTCGTTTCGCTTGCAAGTGACGAAAAACTTTGACGAAGCACGGAAAATCTGATATCAAAGTATAGCCAGCTTATCACTGCCTTAAACGAAGGGTAAGATCACCTTGCCTCTCAAAAAATAGTGAATAGATAATGTTCGTGCGTTATTGACGTTATTCCCGTGCATATAATTCTCTGCGGTGGTTGGTTTTTGCCTGTCTGTTGAATTCCGCTTTGATTAGAACGTCTGCTGATCTTGAAAATGGGAAACACGGAAGGTATTCCAATAAACAAAATGACAAGCAGTGTTAAAACCAGCAGCAAGGTATTTGGTAAAGACGAGAGAAAGCTTTCGTGTGAACGCGAAAAAAACCCTGCTTGCGTTGAAGACGAAGTTGAAACAGTTGGCAATCTTACCGAAACAATGGCTGCGGATAACAGTACTCTCACAGATACGGAGAAGGTAAAGCCGTCAATTCCAAATCCCACAAGCAATAATAACAGGTAGGTGATTTTTTCTTTGAAATTATAGTTTTTTTTGTTGTTTAGTTCAAGGCCATTCAAATTAGGCGAAGGTCATGACATTGTTATAATTTTGTTTTCGGAGTATAGTGTCTTTTCAGGTTGCAGTTGGTAGGAAATAGTAGCAAGCATCTTTTCTTCTCGCAAATTTCTCCTTTTCAATATTTTTTTGATAACTAAAGAAATCAAGGCTCAGTATAAAAAGAAGTTCAAAGTTCGTGTTTTTGGCCATGGAGGCCATTTCGTCTGGCTTGCAGACAGACTTGTCACGCGCTCACAGGCCGGCGGCGGCGGTGGGAGTTGTGACAGGTTGTTAAAACAAGTACTCATCATTCTTTACACGTAACATGCACCTGTGTGGCATTATTATAACTTTTTCTTATTAGCTCATTCTTTAGTGTTAAATCTTAATTACACAGTTAAATACAGAAATACACTAGTGGTCAGCCCATTGGTAGAAGAAATAGAAAATCTCCAAAATTGTTCCATTGCGTGTCATTAGCTCGTAAGGGCAGTCGAGACATGCATATTAATATTTATTTTTGCATTTCGATGAATTCGGCAGACGTAAACACAGTTACCAGAGCGATTAAGCATTACGTACTATCAATTGTATTTTTTCCGCTTTCGACTTTCCTTATGGAAAATTTTTATGAGTATACTATCGTTTGAGTTTTTTTTTGGCGATATATATTCAGATACTAGCGGCTTCGACTTCTATTACCAGTTGCCAGCTATCTTCTCACGAAATTTAAATACTCTGTCCTTAAATAAAGTGTCTTTCTATCTGTCTTTCTTGAAAGTTTTTTTTTTAAGTGTACCTGTAAGAATGAAATATGACCTTTTCTGCTCCTTATTTGACAGTTTTAATCCCATATGTTGCCGACGTCTGCCTTGAATTCCCAATTTAGCTTTTTATTAGAAGGAAAATACGCCGCAGATATAGTTCAAAAGTGAGAACATGTGAAACTGCTGAACTCATGCGGCAATGCAAGTTTTAAGCCACGTTGCTGGTGGCCAGGCCACAGCTGACAAGATCAGAAATCAGTGACACGGCATCCGGTCTACACACAGCGCGCCTTACGAATACATGACCGGTTAAAACCGTTCAATAGCCAGTCCGTGTGGAAAGGAAAAACAACAACAAAAATGGAAAGTGAAAAGCTAGAGAGTGGTTATTTCAGATTGTATAAAAACTTCATTTAATATGAATTGAACTAATGCTTGACGGATATTGAGGTACAGTTTTTCATTTAACATGATTTAAAAAATGTATGTATTTTGGGTTATTTCGTAGTCGTACACAGTTTCCGGTTTTGACTAGTACATATTTGAGGAGTGTTAGTCATCGCAAAATATAACGTTTTGACGAAGTACATAATGACTGTAATTAAAAACCTTGTAACACCATGCAAGAGGGGATAAAGCTCAGAGAATTACTCCCTCATATAGGCCCTTTCCCCGTCGTAATCCCTGTAAGTTACTTTTGGATCGTATTGGTTTTCCTCCAGAGGATGATATTTTCTCGCGTGTTGCGTGGAAGTTTCGTTGAGGAGCGAAAGTGCAAAAACATGTCGGGAGTGCGAGAGTTTTGTTGAATGGGAAACAAGAGAGGATAAAGAGGATTTATCCTCTCTTAATGCTAAATGAGAATAGTTTTTAAGAATTTTTTCTTCTTTATTTAAGCATGTATCAATCGCCATTTCGCATCGAGAAAAAGAAAATCGTCTGAAGATTCACAAAGGAAATTAAGTTTGTAATGTGGTGTTGACAGGCGAGACATGAATCAAAAGAGTATGGTTTAAAACATCAACGGTCTTCCTTCTTTTCTTTCTTGCACGTAGGTTGTGCATTGCATGAAGAATTCTAATTTTTTACTGAGCAAATCAAATTTTGGCCGCTCTGATTCTCAGTGGAGTCGTACATTGGCATAGAGAGGTCAGAGGCTGGTCCGTTGAATTGAGTATTTTGTTATTGTAAGCAGCGACCATTCCAGAAAATACCATAACATACCACATTGCAGTTTGTCTTGGGAGTTTAAACGACCCCAAGAGAAACTGAAAACAATGCTTATGCAAAATTTTCGGGTGACAAACAAAGAGCATTATGGTATGTTATGGTATTTTCTTGAGTGGCCAATTGCGAGGGGCTTCGCCCAGCTGTCGACATTGGCAAAGTCAAAAGGACATGTGATTGGCTATCACTCAACCCTCTTGGGAACAACGGGTATAGGGCCTATAGAAAAATATGAAACGGCAAACTGATCGTTACGGCAAGGTGATGAAGAAGGAAACAAAAGAATAAAACAAAAAATATATAGTTTGTTTTATTCTTTTGTTTCCTTCTTCCTCGCCTTACCGTAAGGATCAGTTTGCCGTTTCATATTTTTCTACAAGTTTTTAATTAATTGTACTGATCCAGGTCTACAACTGGGAGGTCCAGCACCACTCATTGGTTTGTTGTTGTGGACTTGCTGACATTTTATATATAATCGGGCCTATATGGGGGATTGTAATGTAATGTAATTTATTTACCCACGAAGCACCTAAGAGCTTAAGAGCTCGTTTTTCAGTGTCCGTGCGTTCCGGATCGACTTGGAATTTGGAAGTGTTGGTTTTAGGGGAGATGGGAAAACTGGAGTACCCGGAGAAAAACCTTTCGGAGCAAGGCAGAGAACCAACAACAAACTCAACCCACATATCGATACCGGGGTTTGAACCCCGGCCACATTGGTGGAAGGCGAGCACTCTCACCACTGCGCCACCCTTGCTCCCCTCTTATTAGTTCTCTGAGCCTTATCCTGTCTTGCACCATGACACTAGTTTTGAAACTCTTTACCTCGGGCAACTCTCCAGGGGAGAGGGGACGGGGTAAGGGAGTCCACTGGTTGCAAATGTGTTGTTGTTGCCCTTTCTCCAGTCTCCTGCAATTATAGCTTTAACAACGATTCAGTATCGTTACTCGTAGACCCCAATTAGCACTAGGGGAGTAAAAGGAATGACTTTTATCAGATATGCGTTTTGTAGAGAAGTAGTTTCAAATAATTTAATAATCAGCAGGTCAAGTGGAACCCCAGTTTTTTTCTTTTTCTGCACTCTGCCGTCTAATTAATCAAGATTGATATCGTATGGAAAATATCAAGAATCATTATTCCAGGTGTCCCGAAAAGGAAGAGAGCCGCCGCCCTTATTTAACAAACATAAACCCTTCCTCTTTAATCAAGTTTTATGTCATGTCATTGAGATTGCTTTTTCTCTACTAGCCAAACGTTTAAGCCTGCGTTATGAATAACATAGATGTCCTTTCTTCGCATGACGGTTGATTTTCTTTTTGACCCAATTTTTTAGCTCACCAGAGGGTAACGTGCAACAGATGAAGATGTGGGAAGAAGTAGCTTCGAAATATCAAGACATTCTCAACAGAGAGTACCGTATGCTAAACTTACCTTCTTACTCGGCAATGTCAGGAGGCAATGTCTACCTATACTACGTTCCAGTCATAATAAACCCACAATTTGTGCCCCAGAATTATGGTGTTTACAGCCAATATCTTAACACACCAAAGACTGCCGGTGAAACAGGTTCCAAGAAAGATATGGTCCACTTCGATGATAATGATAACATGAATGATAATTGCATCAATACCGTAAAAGAAGAACCTCGTATGCATTACGACCAAATCATAGAAGATACCGGGGACAGCAAAGGACGATTTCGCACCGAATACGTGTATTGTAAAACAGAAAGCAAGCAGTATAACAGCGTCAAGTCACGGCCTTGCTCAACAGAAACTACGGTGACGACAAAAGCAGAAAAAAACACGAACGCTCCGAACTCTTGTTGTGGTGGACATGGAAAAGGCATGAAAAATGGAGGTGAACCCGAAAACACTTCTCAAAATGGCAGAGGAGAAGATGAACCCTTTATTAACAACATTGATGACGGCGCGACTGAAGGCTATATTCGGATTTTTAAAGGTTACACGATAGAGTACCATCCGCTAAATAGGGGTAAGCTGCAGAGGTGTTACGTTTCCGAACTGGACATTAAAAGAGCTGAGAAGATACAAGATCTTAAGGAACGTCTCGCTAAACAGGAAGAAGAACTGAAAAAACTCAAACTTCAACCGTCAGCAGATGATTTTTCTAAAGAAGGAAACGTTAACGGGTGTTTTCAGCAGAAATTGATGGATAATGGGAAAATGAACGATTTACAGGCTGAGAAACCTTGGAAATTTCTCAAAGAATTTCCTTCGACTGAAATTCATTATTTTCCTTCAGGTGAACGAAAGACGTCTCCTCGAAGAAAACACGCAAGAAAACAAGCTGTACCACGTAGAATTGAAGAAATTCCGAACATTAGAAATGAAAAGGCAGTCCATATAAATAGTGAGACCAAGTGCTCAGAGAGAGAGAAAAAAACAAAGTCCACCCCCTTTCTTCCTGTTTTGAATGAAGAAAAAAATTGTAAGGACAAAAAGGATAAACGAGTTCTTCGCGAAGAAAAATCCACTCAGAAGAAGGCAAAACCTTCCAAGAAAGCTAGGACTGGACGAAAACGCAGAAAGACACAGCAGGTTTCAGGCGAGACCAAAAAGAAACGATCAAAAGTAACTTTGTGTAAAAATACTCAAGACGATGACATTTGCATAGATGAAAACATGTGTAAAGCTAGGAACCCTCATGACGTAACACAGGACGAGTTTCTTTCAATTTTTGGGTTACTCAGAGAGGGTGGGCAGTAGTACGAAACTAGAGCTAGAGATTACGTGTTTCTTGTTCAGGACCTCTGAGGCATACATTAGCCGGTTTTAAAATTCTCTATACTGAACCTACTTTCAACTTAGCTTTGTATTCAAGACTTTTGTTCTCTAATTTATGAACAGCTGAATGTTACGACTTCAGAAGACTGAAAGCCAGCAATATCGATGGTATGTTGTCGCTTTTTTTCTAATTGTTTAAAAAATACGGCGACTTGGCCAGTTTAATCAGTTTAATCAATTTATATTATTTTTAATCAGCGTTATGTTTAGTAAGTATGTAACAATTATTCTAGTTATTCTATCCATCCAAGAGTAAAATGGACTAACTTTGTACAAGACTTCAAAATGCGCGCAAAGATTATTAAAGGTAGCCTGAGAAAACAGCCGACATTTTGCGACTCCACTACTGGCTTTCCCGCGAAATGACGTGACGAGTGCCAAGGCACAAGTGTTTCAGGCGTGTGAGAAACGAGTGCAGAAATTCCGTACTGATGAAGCGAATTTTCAGCCAATCAGACACACTTCCCAGATCTGGGTGGTGACACGTCATCAGCATGGAATGTCTGCGCTCGTTCAGACGTCATTTCGCGGCGCAAGCCAATGGTGGCGTAGCAAAATGTCGGCTGTTTTCTCACGCTATATTGAAGGCTATAAGTGGTGCTGTGTTGACCGCATTGTGTTTGTGTCACTCAATTCCACAGAACTACATAGTTGAAACTATGCAGGCTTATTACGAGCCCATAATCTCCGTTGTAAAAGGTCCGGCTTCGACACCTTCAGAATAATCACGGTTTTGCCTCGTCTTATCATGAGAAGGCTATAGTTTCTTTACAATTTTAGAAAATGGCGTCACAGAGAGAAAAAAAATAAATATATATATATATATATCTAAAAGGATGCTTTGACCTCTCTCGCTGCTTTCTAGACTAATGAGTGCTACTGTCTTTAGGACCTTCTTTTACACCACCATCGAGCAAATGCTCTGGTGACTAGAGTAGGGTGTGTATCATATCCGGCACGGTTTGCTCGAGTTTCCTTCGCTTGCATTCACCGCCGTTCAGAAAAGAGGGTACTATTATTACTATAGCTACTGCACGTAACGCAGCTTCCAATAATTTGTGAGGTTTCATGTGAAAATACGGCACGCAAACGCCGAGTACACAGATGTGTTACACTTAATTCTCACTGAGCCTACGTTCACATGGCAATGGACGCATTTTCGACCGGCTGACAAATTTGCCCCTACTGTACACTTGGTTCACACACAAGCGTACAATATTTACGCTCTGTTCACACGGTATTTTCATACGGTTAGGTGGTTCCGTGTGAACGGACTGAGCACCTTTTCCCTTTCGTGTCCCCTGGTTCTCTCTCTTTGATTTCCCTACTAGTCTTCAACTTTGACATTACTTACGCAAGATCAGAAACGGATCCTAGGGACCCGGGTTCCGAGGGGCCTGAGCACGCACCTAATTGAATCTATCAGACTGGAGGATTTTTAGAAAGTACTTACTTAACCGCTTTGAAACTGAAATATTTCAGCACTATCGAGGAATAGTATACAGCTTTCAACGCGTAGCTTTAAAAGGAATCCTGCATTGCACGCCGCCTTTAAACCATGGGTCATTTTTAAAGTTAACTTGCTGGATTTGCACTGTGCACTTCTCACTGTACCCTGTGAGCAGAGGTTTATTCCTGGCATGGCTTTACGCATTTGTAAAGTCGTTTTTACGTCATCGACAAACCAACTACGCTACTGACAAGCAACGCAAACGATTTTACAGATGCTAAAAGCCATGCCAGAAAGAAACCTCTTCTTGCAGGGTATAGTCTACTCTCACTGCGCATAATAAGATGGCCGCCGTGAACAAGAGCATTCTAACATGCATTATCAAAATGAAGTTGATCGAAGAGAAACGCTATTGGATGAGACCCAGGCCCGTCCACAGTGCACGTATTCGGATATTTTTGAATCCTCAACTTTTTCTTTGCGGATTCGGCTTCCGTCCACTGTCCACCACTATCTGGTGTATCTGGCATACGAAGACAAGGTAGGAAGTTTTGATATGTTTTTGTTTCTATTTTAATGTCCCAAATAACGATCAATAAATTTTCCATACAAACCCTTATCATATTTCTACCTGTGTTCGGACTGAAGAATTGGACGCTGTAAACAAGTTAAACGAGCGAAATAGTGATCGTTGGGACAATTTTGTCAGTGAAACAGTTATTGAAGAAGATTGACGATAAAATTTTGGCATGTGCCGAAGATCGCTTTACCGTAAAGCAAATCACAGGCGGCCCAAGCTCACTACATGAACGCTGACGTGACTCTTGCTTACGAGCGGTGTTGTGTTACAAACGGTTATTTACAAAGACTTGTATTGGATGTAAACGTTTTTTCTTAAAAGAGAGAAAAAATGTTATGTCTTTAAACAAAATCGACTTACCTTATTGCCTTGTTGTATTCTTTGTTTTTTGCCCGCGTCTCAGGCCGTTTTGAGGCGTTTTCGGCGTGTCAGCGCTATTTTGGTGTTCCACTGCTAAGAGAAAGACAAGGCAGAACAGTGATGTCCGGAGTGTCCGTCGCTCGAGGCGAATAATTCCGCTGGAAAATTACCCCCGGCCTCAATTCCTCCAGGAATTCAAAGCAGAGATGTTGTAGTGCCATGTCCATTCACTCGATTCGCAATTCCTCCCACAGATCGTTCATGGACATGGAAAATTTTGAATCCGCAAAGAAACATTTGCAGATTAAAAAATACCGTATTTATTCGATTAACCGCCCTGGGCGCTTATGAAATTTTTGGACCTTGAGAGTGGGCGCTTATTCGAGGTGGGCGCTTATTCGAGGTTGTGTGCTTATTAAATTTTCACCATTCTCAGCCATGTGTCAGCAAGTGTAGTAGTATATTTTGCAAAAAAACAGTACATGCTAATAACAAAAAGCGAAGATGTAACAAAGCAAGGTTTCTGTAAAATACCCTGAAGAAAACTCCGTCTTCGGGAGGGTCTCTTATTATCTCTTATTGGAGTTTTTGTGGGAGGGAGTGGGGTGGGGTGGGTGCTTATTCGAGGCTGGGCGCTTATTAACTTTTTCTGCCTGTAGGATGGGCGCTTATTCGAGGTGGACGCTAATTCGAGGTTGGGCGCTTATTCGAATAAATACGGTATCCGGATACGTGTGGACGGGTCCCGGGGAGGGGGTGTACTCCCATACATTACCTGTACGGGTATGAGCCGCTAGGCTCGGGGGATGAGTGCGGGTTCATTTTCCCGAACAGCGGCTGGTAATCGAGCCTAATGTGCCGCCCAACGCGGTCGTGATTTTGAAGCTCCTGATTTAAAACGGGGTATCCATTTCAGAGGCGTTTTCTAGAACGGGGTATAATATTTCGAACGCACGAAAGCTCCAGTTTTGTAAGCAGCCATTTGAAATTATTCAAGGACAGATTGCTTTTAAAAATACGATTCAATGCGTTAACTGTTGTTGTCTTGTTGCACCCTGTGTTTTAGCGTGCAGGGCGGGCGTATTTTGGCCCGAGCCGCGAGCGCTGACTTACTTGATCAGAACGTTTACTTAGTTGCATTTTTTGCCAGTGACGTTTACTTGGCTCCTTTCGAACAGAATCGCACTGGTTGTCTATGACGGCAAAACAAGAAACTGTTAGATAACACTTTGTTTGGCCTTTTGTTGAGACCGAAGATACAAGCAAGGAAGTGGAGCATTTAACGATCACTCCGGTAAACAAAGTATTATAATATATACGTAATTTGCTTGTTGATTGTAGTTTAGTAACTTGATATTCATGATTTTTCTTAATAAAAGTTTTTAACACAATTTAATAAGATGGGAAATAAAAAAAATTGTGGATCATGGCTTTATCTTCTGCTTAAAATTGTTACTGATTATGAAGGAGCATTTATTGGATGTATAAGCCGAACAAATAAAGAAATATCTTTTTGAAAAAACAGGGCTATTTCAATATACAAACTTTCTAGAACGGAGTATAAAAAATTGGCCCATTTCTAGAACGGGTTATTAGTTTTAGGGCGAATTCTAGAACGGGGTTTAAGAAAATTGGCCCATTTCTAGAACGGGGTATCAATTTTAGGGGAATTTTTTTAAGAACGGGGTGCCAATTTGGAGTCCCGGGCGGTAGGCTTAGCCACAAGTTGCCGATAAATCCCAAAAAAGTTGCCGACAAAAGTGTCTAAAAGTTGCCAAAAAGTTGCTATTTTTTTTTGCTATTTTGCCGAAAAGTTGCTGAATTTCCAAAAAGTTGCCGAAAAGTTGCCAAAATTTTTCTGCTTTTCGTACCTTTTTTGGGTGTTAAAGATTAAAAATTCGCACATTGCTTCTTATCAAAACTTTATTTGTCAAAGTCCAATGATAATATCAGAGGTTCTTTCCATTTCACTTGATCAACAAATAGTCTATCAGAATGACATGAACAAAACATGGTAATTGTCCGCCATCTTGAAAAAACGTGCAACGTGATACCGCTGACCTCGTGATAAGGAATCACAAAAATCAACCCATGGGGGGGGGGGCCCTTAGGCCCTAATTATTGTATTTTAGAATAAATTGAATAAATGTCTATCGAAAACTGACTAATGTGGCTCAAAACGTGAAGAAAGTGGCTTCAAAGAACCTCAAAAAGCCCAAAGTTGCCGAAAATTCTAAAAGTTGCCAAAATTCTAAAAAGTTGCCGAAAATCTCAAAAGTTGCCGAAAAGTTGCCGAGCAACTTGTGGCTAAGCCTACCGGGCGGCAAACACCCACCAAAAAATACCCCAGGGCCCCCCCCCCCCCTCCCCGGGAGACGGGGCCTCGGTGTGTTGGGAATGTACATAACACGTGTCCAGTCAGTGAACCTCTCTCTGAGCGGCCACCTTGGGGACAAAAGAAAGGGACCATTGTAGAGAGGTGGGCGTTGTAGGAAAGTTAAAACAAAAGTGAATGTATGGACTGCAAGCCAA